CTGAGTAATCGTGTATCCTACACGTTAGGAATTTTTGTTGTCGCACATCAAGTACCGCTATCAGAGTGATTGCTGAATGGTGTGTAGTGGGGCGGGGGGCAAATCTATTACAATGCATGGGAAGGCAGACAAGAAGTGTATTTCTGCCCTCTTGAGCAAAGCCCTTAAGCAGCTGTGTACTCTGTTGGCTTCAGGGACTATTTCTGCGTTTGATATTTGCAAATATGCGCAAGTACTTTGTTGAATCGATGCTTCAAACAGCACCAGTGTGAGCAGTGGCAAAAGAACTTCACTGACTTCTGTAGCATAGGAGAAACATCCTCCTGTGTTTTTTAATAAGCTGAGCAGATCTGGAGGAGGATATCCTCCAGAACTGAATGCACCTTGCATTTGATATATAAAAGGTGGGGAACCATATTTTTAAATTGTGTAGCATGGCAATCAGTTATGTGGGTTTCGATAATGCGATCAAGTTGTACCCTTGGCCTTTCACGCAGGCCCCAGGACTGTCCTGTGTTCTCCTTCTTCTGAAATGTATCCCAAAGAGAGATTTAATTTAGTGAGCGTACTGAAATTTCCTGAAAGTAAAGAGAGAGAACCTCTTCCAGAATTGTCATCTCTGAAAATTGTATCAGTTTCCCTGCTGTTCCACAAGTGAGCGTGTGCAGGACAATAAACCATGGGAATAAAAGCATAAAAGACCCACTCTTTGCTGTAATGAACACTTAAATACAAGTCTGCATCTCTTATGTGAGTTGAAATAGCTCACATAGATATGTCCACCCATGTAAATATCCAATATATACTATACACTCATCAGCCTCCGTACTTTCAAAAATACTAACTAATGCTCCACAAGAAACATTTATAACCTGTAAACACACTATTCATGCACACATAACCGTTCACATTTATATAATGGACCCAGTAAACAAGCTAAAAATACATATTTAAAACATTGAATAATTACATCTGCCTTATAAATGTATCACTGATAAGCAAAATTCACAACAGTATCCATCCCCACTTGTATAAGTGTACGTGTACACAAAATAGCTAGCTCTCCTGCCACACACACGACAGTAGCTCTCAGAAGCTACCCCTATTGTTCCTGTGCACAAAGTGCACACAGTTATTCACAAACACACCCTCACACAAACTTGCATACCTGAATTCTGCATTTTAAAACGCCACCTGAGGACTGTGTTATTCACCGTGAGTCCGGGTGCCTGCATACAGACATAAACGCACACGTTGCCTTTCCGGCAGGCAAACCTACATGTTCAAATGGTTTTCCAACACCACACAGCTAAATCCTGCACTGCACAACACAAACGCATCCTGTAACCCTCAGCTGTGCAGAGATGTGTGTTTCTGTCCTGTGATCATTAATGAGAGTTTTTGAGCGTTTTTGAGCAAACAAAAGCTGTTTCTTGTTCTTTTTCTCTTTGTGACAGGATAGTTGGGAAACACCTTTTTAATGCAGGAGAATTAATGAGCTGTGAATGGAGGCAGGAAAGGAGACTTGCTTACAGTAAAGGCTTTGTCATTCTGCTTGATTTTAGAATCATAGAATAGAATCACAGAGTCATTAAGGTTGGAAAAGACCTTGAAGATCATCAAGTCCAACTGCCAACCCAACACCACCACACCCACTAAACCATGTCCTGAAGTGCCACGTCTGCACGTTTTTTGAACACCTCCAGGGATGGTGACTCCACCACCTCCCTGGGCAGCCTGTGCCAATGCCTGACCACTATTTCAGTAAAGAAATTTTTCCGAATATCCAATCGGAACTTCCCTTGGTGCAGCTTGAGGCCGTTTTGTTTCAGGGTTTGGGGACTGGAGCGGGAGGGAGCCCTGCAAGCCAAGTCATTTTACTGTATCAGTTGCTTTCCTAGGCCTGGCTTTTTACCTGTGCTGTTCTTGTGCAATGTCACTAGTGCTCATGTATGGCCAAGCTGACCCGTATGCCTTGTATCCTTTTTTTTCTTGTATGAGTTTCTATACTTATGCTTATTAAGACTATTCATTTTGACTAAAGTACGTTTCTTAGACTGATCTGAAGATATCTAGAGATGAAAAATGCAGCTCTTTCCTTGGTAGTTGGTTCCAGGGGTTAATCAATGTGGCTGTTAGAAATGTCCCTTTACTTTTAATTTTAATTTGCCTGGCTTTAACTTTCACTCATTTCAAGACCTGTCACCCATTTTTAGGCTTAAATTTACCCTCTCGTTGTTTTCTCTCACTTTTTATTACAAATATATTTCTATCAGAAATAGCAGATCATGAAGCTGAGATAAGAGGGAATGTTATTTATGCTCAAGTAATTAATACCCCGTGATAAGCTCCATGCATTGCCAGCTGTATCTGCTGCAGTATACAAGAGGCATGTTGCCAGAATGTGTTAAGCAGCAGTTTGGTGGATGATGGAGAAGATATTTAATTAAGTTACAGGGAAACTAGGCAAGATTTCAGT